GTTGGTACAAATGGTACCAGTTTGTGTCCCTTAAGCAAGTTGTCCAGAGTTTGGAGAATTCTTACCATATGTGCGCTTATAGTCTCCGACAGAGATTAGTCACTATTTTTGACGATGAATACTTCATACTAATATTATAGTTACAAAAAAAAAATTTAACAAAAAGTAGAGATCAAATCAATTACACAAGCTTGTGTTATTTTTATATATATAATAACTATTAGAGTCATGACACTTTGTGTCTCAAATCAGTTACATAAATTTGTATTCCCTTTATATATAATTAGTGAGACCGTGACACTTCGTGCCTCAATGGGTATAACTAAAAAACTGTTTAATAAAAAAATGTGTAAAAGTAAAAGAATGGATAAAAAAAATAGATTAAAAATAAGAATGTTTATTAAATTTGTGCCAAAAGTTAAGATAAAAACATTTTCAATAGACGGAGACGAATTGAGAGGTTAGGGTAAAACAATTCTCACCACTGCTCATTGTTGAAGTACTATCAAACATGACAAGACTTGTTATTGAAATTGAAAAATCATTCCACTTTCTTGACATTATATATGAATTACCCATATATGACATATTTGGTGGAAACAAACTTGAATATGAATATTGTACCTGCTTAAGGATACACTCGTAGTCTTCTTGGTAAGAAGGGCCGAACGGATACTTCAAACGGATTCTTCAGAGGGGGGAGGTACCTGCAAAAGGCACTCCAACGCTCAAGTCAGGATAAGCACGATATTCTAGGATAATTAATGAACAGTGACATACCTTGTTATGTGTGACCTATTTATAGCATCTGACATGGGCCTGAGCATGATGGGCCCTCTCAGATATTTACCAAATTAGGTAATATGGTACTAATTGGTCGTTAGGCTTTAATCATGTACATACCTTTCTTAATTGTGATTACCATTATGACTTGTTTAACCCTTCGGCAAGAGGCCGAACCGGCTATTCAATACTAGTCGGAACGGCAAATGACCGAACCGTCTAGTCCGTATACGGCAGCTTGTATACTTCCGGTATGATCTATGTCGGAACGGTACTTGACCGAGCCGACTCGATGAGTGATGATGGTCCATATTGGTATTAACCAGACTGATGTCGGTTCTTGGCCTCATGCCGAGCCGACGTTGATGGTGATGCTTGTACGTGGCTATGCATGAGTGTCTGACGAAATGGCACGTGTTGGCCCACGTGACCGATACGGTCTCTCCGGTACACAAGCCCCCCAGCCTTTGAGGAGCGAAGCGACGCGAAAGGTTAATGAATTAAAAACAGGATTTTTCAGTCGGTGTCTTGAAGAAGAAACTAAGGGTTACAACTGATGGTGGGATATGAAGGGTTGTA